CGCCACGCCCCGCCACGCCCCGCCACGCCACGGGTGTGCCAGTTGGCGCGCGGCGAGGCGCTGCAGCACGTCACGGGGCGGCCAGGCCAGGCCAGCGGCCCCGGAGCAGGACCTGCTGCATGGGATCTTGCCCTAGGGCGCTCTAGACCTGTCCCGTCCCGTTGTTCCCAAAGACCCGCGGCTCCTTATACAGAACGTCTTGTCTTGCTTCCTGTTGCCGCAGAGTCTGACCCTGCTGGCCCCGCGGCTCCTTCGATAGGGCCACCCTTTGGGATCGTCCAGAAAGTGCGTGCACGTACTGGAAAAAAACAAAGGTGCCAAGTCTTATTTAACGGCACTAAAACTGTGAAAATCACTAACATCAACATCTTGCACCTTTAGGGCTATTCAGTGCCTTAAGAAAGGCGGTAAACTAAAAATTTCTGTAGCAATCCTGGAATGGCACGACTTACCACCTTTGCTCTTCCAGTGCATTATTCGCCGTTACGGACATGCCGCAAGTTCCACCTCTGCGCCCTCTGCGCCCTCTGCGCCAGCTGTCATAGCGCCTGGTCGGTAGGCAACATCTCGCCTGCAGTGCGCGCGTGTACTGCGGGGTGGCCTACCCTGAATCTCACAGGCGCCGAGCTCACCGTTTAATAATTTGCCGCAAACGAACCCGCAAGAAACACTAACGGATGTACCTCTTACTTCTTTTCTGGACGACCCCTGCTCTGGTTTAACCTCCCCAGAGTGGCCCCCGCTCCGCCCCGACACGTGTGTGCTGCTCACTTCCTCCCAAAAGGGCCTCTCTCGTCCCTGAGGAGCCCCCTCCCCTCCTTCTCCCTCACTCCGTGTCGCGCCGCGCGGAGAAAGCAGTGCAGCTGCTGATTTATGTCCGGCCCCCACCCCACGCACACACACGCACACACGCACACGCACACAAACACACACGCACACTCGTGTGTAATTACGGGACGGGTGCTGGTCGCGCGACACGTGTAAAGCTCTCGTGGCGGCCGGGCCGGTCGTGTTGTATATTTCCTTTAGTGTCCCCCGGTGTGAGTGAAATGTGCGGAGATGGACCTAAAGTTCACGGGCAATTTTGTTGTTGTTTAAAATTTTGGGGCACATTTCAGTCCAAATAAATGTTATTAGTTGGCTTTTGTGGATTCCTTTTCCCTAATGACGCGCGTAACGTTCAGTCTTACAAGTGCGTAACTCAAAAAGCCTTTAAATGTCCACATGTGTGTCTTTCTCTTTTCTCTCTCTCTCTCCGTCTCACTCTGTCCCACACGCGCCGCTCGTCCGACCGAGTTTGTCACCACCACCGCCACCGGTTCCGCGTCCCATGTCGTCATGTCGCCCGTCGTCGACGAGCTGCCGGTCCGGCCTGTCCGCGCGTTAACGACGCGTTGTGGTGCGGCAGGAACAGCTCGGCGCGCTCGGCTCGGATGGATTGGAAAAGAGCAGGGAAGGAGAAGTTTAAAAAAAAAGAAACACTCGTCTGCACTTATGAAACACCAAGTTGCTGCTGCTGCTGCTGCTGCTGCTGCTGCTGCTGCTGCTGCTGCGTTGCACTGACCGACTGGGCCGGGCGTGTTGCACGCCTTTTCCTCTTTGTATCTCGTGTCTGCCGGCGTGCGCGCTGCGTCGGCCGGTCGATCGATACCTCGCGACAGGGGCAGCTGTTTGTGCGATTCTCCGGTTCGATACAATAATATCGAGTGTGCTGCGGTGCGAGTTGTTGTTGTTGGTCCGTGCCGTTTCGCCTGCCGCCAGCTCCCTTCCCTTCCCTCTCTCCCTGCTCTTCGACCTGGCCCGCGCCCTGCCCTCTTGACTGTCGGTAGTAGTACATTTTCTCTTTCGCTCGATCGCAAAGCAGAGTTTGCTGCCCGACTTGACCCGCCGCCGCCGCCACCGCAGCAGCAGCAGCGTTTGTTGTTGTATAATGATGTTGCTTTGCGAAAGTCGCCCGGGCCGGCCGGCGCTCGCGGTCCATATTGCACACGAGGAGCCGGCGGAGCCGCGCCCGGCCGCGCCCGGCCCAGGCAGGACCCGCGAGAGGCACAAGCAGCAAAGGTCGGGAGGTGAAGTCTCTGCTCGTGACGGACGGCTGCAGGCGCGGCGCCCCGGCCCGGCCCGGCCCGGCCCGGGTGGGGCAGTGGCGCGGGTCGGGCGGGGCACCCACCCGAGGGCGGGGCGGGGCGGGGCGGGGCAACACTGTCATGCGGAAGGGACACTCGGTCGTGACTCTCTAATCTTCCCGCGGGGATGTTAAGTATCGCGGTCGCGGTGGTGCGGCGCGGGGTCTTAAAACAATACGCGGGCCGGTGGCGGCGGGGGCGGTGGCGGTGCTGGTGTGGTGGGTGTGGAATTACTTATTTTTTTCTTTCCCCCCTTTTGGCAGCGCCGCCGCCGCCGTCGCCATACTATGGCGGACCTGATGGTCTAGGAGAGGCGGGCCGGGTGGTGATGTAACGCCGTGGGTAACTTTGGAAAAAGAGCAGCAGCAGTGAGAGAACTTGTAATGAAAAGGCGGCGTCTTCGTCGTGGCGAAAAAATGATTGTTCAAACTTGGCGCGCTTTATCCGCGGCACTTATTGAGTGAGACAGGCGGTTGGGATTGAATCTCCTGTTCGCTCGCGCGCTCCCTATCTGTGCTCGACACACACCGCTATCGGCGTCGGGCGTAGAGGGCCTCGCTGCTGCTGCTCTGCTAAGACTGTACACACTGCGCTCTCGCAGACTTTGCGACGGTTTTGCTCTCTTTCTGTTTTCGCCGAATTGCAAGCAAGCGAGCGAGGGCGAGGGTGGTGTATGTGTGTCGGTGTGTCTGCAGTGTGGCGGGCCTGTTCTGTTATGTCAGCAGGCGCACGGCACACTGTACCCAAATGCTGATTGGCTTTCTGCCTGCTGTTGCGGGGCGCCTAGAGGTGCGAGGTGCGCCGGCCGGGCCGGGTAGACTGGGAGGCACCGCCGTGCCGAGAGGAGGAGGTGGTCGTGTTTGTTGTTGTGGTTGTATTTTCACGCGCTGGGACTGCAAAAATGCCTGCCATAAAAAAACGAAAAAACTTGAAGGTATAAATGTAATTATTGCCGGATCCCGCCTTCTTCGCTCCACCTGCAGACGTCGCGGCGGCGAGTCGACTCGAGGCGCGTCGAGTGAAGCCCGCCGTGTACGCGCCGCTTTGTACTCTGCAGTCTAGCAGTCACTCGGCTCGTCGCGCGGGGCGGGGCGGGGCTGAGGGGGGAAGCCCTGCGGCTCGCACGGCGCACCTGATGCACGGCGGGGCGGCGGCGCTCGCTGACACGACGCGTCCAGCTGCCGACGCTCCAGAGGGGCTTCAGAGGGAGTGGAGTGTACTAGGGACCCACGGCTGCGCGCCACGCCCGCCCCTGGGGGCACTAAGTGCCTTAACTACTCGCCCCGTCCGTCCTCTTTCACTCTCTGGGCCCCAATAACCTGTCCTGTGCGGCCCAGCCTGCAGCACCGCGTGTCCGACCCAACCCGGTCTAGTTATGGCCGAGGTTGTGGTAGTATATCCCCTCGTCACTTCAGGAAGTTCTGTCATGCTGGTGCTGGTTTCCAGCGAGTGGGCTGTCTCCCCCCCCCCCCTCTCTGTCCCCCCTATTACGGGTGAAGGGCCCCTGCCCCCCCCCCTTTTCTGGAGATCCATGAAGACAAGCGCGTTGACGTCTTGCTGACGCTGCGCCGCTTTTCTTTGGTAAATTGGAGATTCCCGATAAAGAGTCCCTTTAAGCCCCCCATAGCGGTCTGGGTCGGCGGGGCGGCGCGGCGGGCGTGGCGCTGATTGTTATAAGGCGGGGCTGCCGCCCGGGTGTTGTCGGCCCCGCCCCGCCCCGCCCAGCGAGCACCGTGACCGTTCGGTTCTCATCGCCCCGCGCGTCCGACCCTCATGCTGCAGCCTCTCTTGTCTGATTCGATTTTCTCCGTGAATACTTTACCCGTTTTGGAGGGGCGGGAGCTCGCTTCGCCCCCGCGCTCCTTTTAGCGCCTCCCCCTTGCGGCTGCTGCATTTGAAAAGGAAAGGCCTGCGTGCCCGGCTGTCGGCCCGGCCCGCCCACCTGCCTGCAGCCCTGGAGGCTGGCTGTGGCTGTGCTGGAATAGAGAGGTGTCTGCCCACTCGCATGACCGGAAGGGGAAATATGAGTCGATTCGCGCTCCGTGGCGTGACGCGGCTGCGGCGCACAGCCCGCCCCGCCCCGCCCCACTCTACCCTTCCCCACCGCGCCCCGCCCCGCCCCAGGTCGTCGTTTTAATCCCACCTGGCCTGCTAGGCTGTTGTTTAAAAGGCCAATGGCTTGGCTCGGAGCTCGGCTTGGCGCTTTGGCTTTCTCGTTTTCATTGTGCCCTTGGCACTGAGTTAAGCTGTAGCAGCGCTGCTTGTTGTCGGCGCGAGCGCTTTCCCCACTCACACACACCCGTGCGCCGCGTGTGTGTGAGAGTGAGTGAGAGGCTCTCGGCTCGTTATTGGGCTGTTCCTTCTGCTGCGACTCCCGCCTCCCTCACTGTCGGGTAGCCGTGTCATGTCATCATGACGGCGTTTAAATATGGAGGAGGCGAGGCGCCGCTCGGGTTCGCTATGTATCTTAGCGAGCAATTTCGCTCTGGGTGAAGAGGAGCCGTGTGGTAATAAATATCACCCCATGAATCCCTTTTCATTCGTTTATGTAAGCCGTAATGTCACTTCGCCCCGGACGTTGTCAGTAACGTAAATGCGGCAACTTCTGCAGGTGGAAATGTGTGGGTTTCGATGCAGAGCTGGATACCCTCAGTCAGCAGAGGCGTTTTCATGTCCTCTCTTGAAACGCCAAACGAGGCAATATAATTACCTATGGACAAAGAGAATTTCTTCCGAGTACTTCCGAGTATACCTAAATCCGCCTAAATCTCCAGCAAAACCGATTTGACTACAATTCTACTTGGATCGAAAAACTATTTTTCTGGGTTCATGGTCCTCTTGCCTTACTCTAGTGTGAATGTCTCTCTGTTGCAGCCCATGAGCCCCCGGGCGTGCTGACCGGCTGCGGCTGCGTCCTCCCACTCGCTGCCGCTCCCACAATGAAAATGGTGTTGTCACAACGTCAGCGCGAGGAGCTGTAAGTATT